AAAGCAGAAGCCAATAAGATGAGGACTTAACGAAAGACGAAACGTTCTGTAAAATTAAAATACTTTGTTGAATTGTAATTTTGTGTTTGTAAATTCTGTACATTTAATTAAGTTATTGTTTATTGGTTTAATGTAAGTGGCTATTGTTCGGGACGAACAATACTAAGGAAGGGGCAGTGTTACGACAGCGGGGTCACGTGACCCTAGTAACACGTCATATTCTCGAAGGTTTGTGAAGTCTCTAGCTTTTACTAGAGATGCGGTAGTGTTGTATATATATAAGCCTCCAAGAATTGACGGCAACAATGTGTAATTGAACTGCGGACAGAGAGACGTATTGTTGAGTCGAGCACGTGAGACGTTCGTTGTGAATTATAGCGTTTGTTATAGCGTGACTGTGGAAATTAAGTGTATTGCAAAGTTGTATTTAGAAAGAATAAACCAGTTTTATCTAAGAAAGGACTTGTATCGCTAAAGTTTTTTCGGAAAGAAATTATACGGAAAATTAACTAACGAACAGAGACGTAACAATATGCACTAGTAACACTACAGGAAGATAAATACCTATACCATAGTGTTAAATCATACGAAAAATTATGTTTTTTAGATCTCCGATTTTGCCCGACTACAGCAATACCCGGGTTTATAAGCCAAAACTGTTGAGGAAAAATACATATATTTGAATTTGTGTATCCAACATATGAACTTGGGAACATATTCCAATTATTTAAAAGATTTCTACAAATGAAAACAATCAACGGGTTTGCCACTCAGTGACACAACAGAATTTCTGCGGACTTACAACGCTAGAAACCGTGTTTCGATACCCGTGATGGGCAGAGCACATATAGCTCATTGTGTAGCTTTGTGCTTAACTTCAAACAAACAAACCGACGGGTTTAATGTTATGCAGATATATCTATGCTCAGAATAGGACACTATTTTGAATAGAAGATACTCTTCCGCCCTCTATAAAAAAAGTTAAGAGTACACATGGTTTTCAATCAGCGCCACTTGGTTTTAGGCCTACGGTTATAGTGGGATTTGTGATCAGTTCAGAACCAGTATAACTAACCGTCACTATAACTGAAAATTTATAATAATTTAATATTCACTTTCAGTTAGGTTTTGAAATTTTTCTTTGTATTCAAAAGACTGTTAAGAAAAAATGACAAAGTCCAGGTAATGAGGTGGTAATTCAACACAAATTATTTATTTTATACTAAGTGTAGTTTGTTTGGTTATAAAAATTAAAATAATGTAAAAACTTAATATTTAACAATACAATAAGAGTAACAGTTCACTCACACACGCTAATTTATATAGTTCAGTTAGTTATACCACGGTAATGATTAATGGAATACAGGTCTAACAATGTCAGTTTTTGATTTTAAAAAGGTAAATAAATCTTGGAGTAAAACCTAGAAGTAATATTTTTTAAAATGCTTATTGAACATAAATTAGTGTGAAACAATATTTTAACAATAATTGATGAATAAATATTCAACAGTTAACCTACACACAGTAGTTTCTATAGTTTAATTAGTTACAGGTATACACTTATTTTTGGTGAAACAGGAAATTAGGACATCAAAAAGGATGTATGAGAAAAGGTTGGCTAAAAATGTAAAAATTAACAGTAAGGATTTATTTAACTACATTAAGGGTAAACACAACTTTAGGATGCGGGTCGGACCCTTGAGCCTGAAAGTTGAAGGATGATTACTATCTGATGTTTATGATATGGCTGGGTTATTAAATTTTGCTCTTTCTTCGGGTTTTAATAAAGATTTAAACAGTATTCCACATCTTGAACA